TGCTTCCTATAAAAAGCCAACTCATTCTTTTATTCTCAAATGCCATCTCTTTCCTGGAATTTCTCCAATCCTTTCAATGAAAATCAATAACTCCTCAGACTTAACCTTCTAATTTAACACCCATTTCATCTGATCTGATACTGTGATTAGTACCGCAGTGACCATCTCCTCTGATTATAAATTCCTTGAGAGTAGGGATCTGGTCCTTTGGTGGTACATGTTCCTTGCCTGTGGAATGCATGTGTGAGCATGTTGTGTTTTCAAGAAGAAGTAAGGTACTTTCGTCATATTCATTCTTATATCTGGACATGTCATAGGAAACTGATTTGATTGATTACCAACTTTCCCTATCTAATCCCTACATTTTCCTCATTGCTTCGCAGTAATTCTTTTTATCTTAATGATTCTTTCTTATATTCACTATGACATTTCTTCCACATTTTTGTTACATTCCTAAACCAAATTTTTTCCTATATCTAAGGAAATGTAGACACAGCCTATTATTTATATACTAGTGGCCTGGTGCACAAAATTCATGCATATTAAAAGAGAATTAATGATAAGAAATATTTTAATATTGCTGTTTGCCCTTTCTCTATCATAGAGGTGTCAAGATGAAAGAAAATTAGTAAAATGTATAGAAAATCTCCCTCCTGTCCGAGTCTTGGGCGCACCACAGGACCTACAGTCAAGTCCCTGCCCACCACCCTCACGCACTTCTAAAATGCAGGAGACCCAGACCCAGCTGGCTCCACCCCCATTTGATGAGACTTAGGCCCGGCCAGCCCACCCCTGTCAAGACCCTTGGGCCTGGGGACACAATCTCAGGTCCTCTGGGCAGGAGGCACAGCCTCAAGTCCCTTGGCCCGGTGCTGGGGTAGGGGTGTGGCCTGAGGTCCCCTGTCTAGCCACGCTGGGGGGGGGGTTGACCTGATGTCCCCCTTAAAGCCTGACTGGGCAGGGGGAACAGCCTGAGGACCCCCGGCCTGTCGCCGAGGTCGTGGGCCACAGCCTGAGGTCTCCCTGCCTGGTACCTGGCGGGGGGGCATGGTCTGAGGTCTCCCGGCCTGGAGCTGGGGTGGGGGCATGGCTTGAGGTCCCCTTCAAGCCTCACCAGGTGAGGGGTGCAACCTGACTTCCCCGTCAAGACCCGCTGGGCGGGGGGCACTGCAGGACAGGGGCCGTCCCTTAGGTCCCCCGTCAAGCCCAGGACCACAGCCCCCCCCCCCCCCCACCCACAATTTCAGACAGCCATCATTTCATGCTGAATGGGGATGCATGCAGGCAGTGTGATGTTAGCGCTTGGTGCAGAATTCCCGCCTCTGGCCCTGCCCATAGACTGGGACACCTTAATAGACAAATTAGCATATTACCTCTTTATTATATAGACTAAGGTCCAGTGTATGAAATTAGTGCATGGGTAGGGTCCCTAGCAGCTGCTGGGCGCCAACCAGGGCCTTCCTACTTTCTGCACTGCCGCCTGGTGATCAGCACATGTCATAGCAAGCAATGGAAATCCCAGTTGGTCAAACTCCCCTGGGGACAATTTGAATGTTTGGCTTTTATCTATATAGATACTGTGTGTATGTGTTTCTCTTCTACTAACAAAATATTTTAAAATCTTACTCCAGCTTACTTTTTATTCTTCAGTTTCAGCATTCTATCCTTCTTTATAAACTTTTATTTATTCAAATGATATTAGAACTAGGGAAATTTGTAAAAATAATATAGAGTTCACATATGCCATATACCCAGCAAGCCTCCTCTGATGGTATTATTTTATGGAATTAGTGTCATTATCAAACTAGACCATTATTATTTGTCCATTGTTCTTAACAATACTACAGCCCTTATTTGAATTTTACAACACTGCCTAGTGTTCTTTTTCTGTTCCATGACTCAATTCAAAATCTCACCTGGCATATAGGAGTTGTACTTCCTTATGTTATGTTCTTCAATATTAATTTTTTCTAATATGTGATCGTTTATCAGTCTTTCCATACTCATCAAGACCTTGACACATTTTCTGAGACAGGTATTTTTTAGAATCACTCTCAGTTTGGATTTGTCTGTTGTTTTTTCAGTTTCATTGAGGTTATGCATTTTTGGCAAGAACACCATAGGTGATATTGAAAGCTTTCCCTCTAAGATCAGGAAGACAAGGGTGCTCACTCTCACCACTACATTCAACATAGTATTATAGGTTCCAGTCAGAACATTTAGGCAAGAAAAAGAATGCAGACGACATGATTGTTCATATGGAAAATCCTAGATACTCCCCCCCCCCCCCAATGTTAGAATTAATAAATAAATTTAGTAAAGTTGCAGGATATAGAATCAATATACAAAAATCACTTGCACTTCTTTATGCTATCAATGGACTACCAGGAAGAGAAATTGAGGAAACAGTCCCATTTACAATTGCATCTAAAGGAATAAAACACCTAGGAATAAATTTAACCAAGGAGGTGAAAGTCCTGTACACTGAAAACTATAAGGTATTGACTAGAGAAGTAATACAAACTAATTCTATCATTAGTTATTCTGTTGCACAAATTGTCCCTGTTTGGAGTATTAGGAGCTTTTCAGTTGGCTGATTGGTGTTTCAACATGGCCCCATCACTTTTTGAGCTCTTCCTTACTTTCTGGTACCATAATATATCCCACTCTTCTTGTATTTTTCTCTGCCTTGTCCCTAAACTCAATGACTTCTCCAAGAACACTTATTTATTTTATTGTAGGATAGTCTTTAGAAATACTTAGATCTGATACCCATACTAGGAATGGGAGCCAATCTGGAAAGTTATATTACCAGAAATCTTGTTTATAATATCAGAAAAGACTTTGCAGCAAAATCACATTTAAGATGACACTTGAAGAATAAGTGAGTGTTATTAGACAAAAAGCAGTAGGAATAAGAGTTTCCTACAAAGAGAAGAGGTTCTGTAGAGGCCCTGAGACATTTGAGAAGTTGAAGAATTAGTAAAACAGAGGAGTTTTTTAAAATAATTGTTTTAACCCATTTACCTACTTTGCCCTCTCTCCACTCTCTTTCTCCTCTGTAACCTCTATTCTGTTGTCTGTATCCTTGAATTTGTTTTTATTTTGTTATATTTGTTTATTTACTACTTTTTACAATATATTTTACATATGAATTAAATCAAACTGTTTTTGTCCTTGTCTGTCTGACTTATTTCACTTAGCACAATACCTTTAAGATTCATTCATGTTATCACAAATGATAATATTTTATCTTTTAAAAAATATATGTTTTTTATTAATTTCAGAGTAGAAGGGACAGGGGAGAGAAACATCAGTGATGAGAGAGAATTGTCGATTGGCTGCCTTCTGCATGCCCAACTTTGGTGGTCGAGCCTGCAATGCGGGCTTATGTCCTGACTGGGTCAATGCTCAAGTACACAGTCATGCCAGCTGGGCCAATATGATCACATCTTCTTTATCCATTCATCCACTGATGGATACCTAAGGTTGCTTCCATATCCTGGCTATTGTAAGTAATGCTGCAATTAACATTGGGGTGCATATATCTTTTTGAATTAGTGTTTTCATGTTCAGGTAAATACCCAGAAGAGGAATGGCTGGATCATATCATAGCTCTAATCTCAATTTGCCGAGGAACTTCAATGCTGTTTTAGAGAGGGTGAAAGGGAAGCATCTATCTACCAGGGATGGAGGGTTGGGACAGGTTTCCCTTTCTACAGAAGAGTAGCCTAAGCAGGTCAGGAGAAACTGAACAACCTCGGTGTTCTTGGGGATGGCATGTCATAAGGTCACCACAAACATCCACAGTGCTTGGCATTTCTCAGTTAACCAGGTTGTTGTATATATATATCATCCATAATTAAATTAGCCTCATCATTCATTCATTAATAATTTTGTAAGGACAACTGTGTGGTTTAGCTTCAAGATGTGAAAGATCTGGGAGAAATTGCGCGAGTTGCCCAAAGTAAAAAGAGTAAAAACCCAAAAAGACACAGTAAGGAACTTATTTAAATTAATTATTTTCTAGAGTTTTTCCAGCAGATGATTTATTACACAGGACGCAACAGACATGTGCCAATGGTAAAACTCTGGCTTGGCACAGTGCCAGTAATAGCCATGTTTAAGGCCGAAACTATAGAGGTGAGTCGATGGTGACTGTGGTCAATGCTTCACTGTGTATTTGATGGTGTGAGAGTCTCATCAGAATAAACAGCAAATACATGTCCCTATATGTAATTGAATTCAATACAGTGAGGATTCCATTAAATATCTAAGGCTGTGAAGGTGCCCTTTAATGCTTTCCAGATATAGTGTGAGTTCTGGGAAGAGTAGCAGCTTCTACATGTCTATACACATTTGGTATCAAGTAATATATTTGTCCTCCTTTTTGGGGAAGTCTTCAATAGAACAGAACCATAAATAAATTATTCTACAAGGTGAGCTCATATCATCTCCCACGCACTGTTTTAAGATTGCAAAAATATAAGACTAATAAAATGTCAGTGTTTCCCTTAAGGGGCTTAGAGTATCCATTATACTTTTATGACTTCAAGTTAATTTTTTAAGAGAACACTAATGTGGTATTGATGGGGAAGATGTTGTTAATCCATGCTATTGAAATTATGCCTAAAAATTATTTATCTTTCTTTTAGTTATTATCATGACATTGGGAGTATTATCTTATGGTTTGATGACAAAGGCTTTGTGTCAGGAAGTAAAAATGGGAAAAACAGACTTTCTCTTCATGGAGAAAAATTAAAAGCAAAATTTCCTAGGGTTGTTGGGCTTAGATACATCTTTCTTACTCATTGTGGTAAAACTGTCAGAGTGTCTCTGGTACCACACTGCCCAATGTACTAGTCCAGAGGAGATAGCGAGAGGCCACATGTGGGGTTTCAGCCATTGCTGGCCTAGTATAAGTGGGCTTAGTACACGTGGATAGGGATCTATCCAAAGTAGGGAACTGCAGCAAGATCCTGAGAAGCATTTTTGCATATGCTCACCCCTTCTGCTTTACTTTGGCACCAGGAAAAGTAATTATACCTATGGTTCCCGATGCTACTTATATCCTGGAGACATTCAAATGTGTACCTAGTATAAGCCTCAATCCTGAGCTTCATACCTGCTTTCAGACTATGTCAACATGAATGCCTCCAAATCAACATACCTGATAATGAACTTGTGATTTCCATCTCCCTAAATGTGGCAATCCTTTGCTTCACCCACCTTCTCTCCCCTCACTCCTACCCTCAATAAAAAACTCCACTTGACTCCCAATTCATGGCAGGACTCAGGGAATTATCTTGGACATTTTCCTTTCAGTCAACTCCAGCTAGTCTCCAAGAGTTAGAGACAGTGGTATGCTTCAAACACAAGTTAAATTTCTTTGAGTCATAGTAATGAAAATGAACCACCAAGAAGTAATTGTTATACAATGTTGCTTTAGAAAGTAGTTGTGTCTAGCCCAATATTCTTATAATTATGGTTGTGTTCATATCTCTGTCTCTCATTATGCTTTTCTCTCTTTCTAAGGTAATTTTAACTAGCTCAAAGCAAATTGACAAGTCTTATCTGTACACATTCCTACAACCATGGCTTGGCCTAGGACTTCTTACAAGGTAAGTCAGTGTAAATTGGTAAAGCTGTCTTGTGTGTAACTTATGTCAGGCATCGACATGGGGTAATTTTCCTATAGTAAGAATGTGCCATTGAGTAGTAGGGAGAAACTGAAAAAGTTGGGTAATAATGGGCCTCTGAGAGACAGGAACCCAGGGTGTAGAGTAATCTCCAGCTATGGTATTCAATAATGCTGATCACCAGTGTTCCAAGGAGAGTTAGAAAGTCCCAATGTAGAAATGGAGTACAGCACAGGGGAGTTTTGAGCAGGGAAATCTTGAAAATTCAATGAAACAGGCAGTCATCCTCAGAGAAGTAAGTGGAGCACAGTAACCTCAGTCCTTGAGCTGCCATCCAGCAACAGGACCCCATCAACTGAGAAAGAGGAGGCAGGACTTCGGTGGGGGCTTTGGAGAATTTGAAGATGTTAGAGATCAAAGTAGACTCATGGAGCTCCTTGATCTTCAGAGGGTTAAGGTTGGATAAAGGTGAGTATTTGTCATTTTTAGAAACTCAGAACTTAGAAATTTAGAAAAATTCTTAAAATTTTCAATTTTGATCAGTGCTCTTTTAAATATTAGTAATATAGAAGGATATCTAAAATATGCCCATCCTGTAACTGTATATGAATCTCCTCTTGACATTCTGACCAAAATATTTGGGAATCTGTAATTAAGAGGAATTTGTTGTCTTGACTATGCTTTATTTGCTTTGGATGTTGCTTTTCTCTTCTTTGTAACCATGTCTTGTATTTCTTTTTTTTGAAAAACACAGCCATCTGTTGAACATAAAAGCAACACACACTACACTAAATATTTTACAATTCCATTTCAATGTTTCTGTTTACAATTATAAATTGTAGATAGAATTAACTACAAATATGCATGTCCAGCTGCAAAATGATTGATCAGCTGAGATATTCTCACATCAATTGCTGGAAATTGGGAATGGAAAGGTGCCGGTTGATCTGACCTCAGGACTAATTTCATTGCCTCATAACATCTGAAATTTAGAGGCATCAAAAGAAGAATTGGTTGAAAAAGCATTTCCCAATATTCAAACCAATTATAAGAATCACTATGGGCTGAGTGAACAAGCTACTCTTGCGGTCAAGAACAAAGACGTCTATGAACTTAACAATATTATTCAGTCTAACATTCAAAGCGAGGCAGTCACATACAAGTCCATCGACACTGTTGTGAAAGCAGATGAAGCGGTTAATTATCCAACAGAATTTTTGAATTCACTCAATCTGCCAGGGATGCCACCACACGTACTGCAATTGAAAATCAGCGTGCCAATTATCATGTTGTGAAATATCAGCCAGCCAAAGCTTTGCAACGGCTCCAGCTTGCAGTAAAAAAATTAATGAGCAACATCATAGAAGCAACAATCTTTTTTCTTTTTTTTAATATATTTTTTATTGATTAAGATATTACATATGTGTCCTTATCCCCACGTTACCCTCTACCCCCCTCTCATGCCCTCACCCCCCCGTAC